TAACGGTCACGGAAATTCACTTTCGAAAGTCAAAACTCGGTCAAACTCAGTGCAACTTTTTGCATGCTCTTCTCCATAATATAACCTTCAACTTTTATTTTTGGACCAACTCAAGTTGCTTACCAAATTTCGGAGAACGCGGAATGCCAACGTCGTTGCTTAGCGAAACTCCAGACTTAGAATATTTCTAAGTGCTGAAAACAACAGCAAATTCGATCTTGTGACCTTGATTTGACTTACTTCCAAGCTGATCTAGCTCTTAGTCCAAAAACAAAGTTTGTTCTACATGATATGGACTACAACTTTCATTTAAGGTCCAACCTCAAAACTGGTAGAGAACCTGTTGTTCTACTTTGACCAAAGTAGGATCGCGATGAAGCTTAAATTATCCTTTTTGATCCATTGGAGCATTTTCTTGGCATTTGCCCAACATGAACCTTTCATGACTTTTGTTGTAGAGTTCATCTAGAGTCATTTGGGCAAGGTTGCAAGGTTTGGTGAACAATCTAGAATTCCATTCACTTTATAAAACGATCCAAGCAAGGACATAACTTGTCATTTCATGTGACTTCTTGATTCCAAACTTCACGAAACTTTTCCATGGATCAATATAGATGGATATTGATGCGAGACACATGAAACGAGTACATCCAGCATTACTCAAACATACCTTTAAGAAAGGGCAGCATGTAAGCAATGGTGCATGGTCCAAGTTTAAGTGGTGGCTCCTTTCCATAGGTTTGACCTTGCCATCTTCATCATCACTTAACATGCTATGTTTGAGCTCAACCCCATTGCTTAATTGGTGGCAAACACCTGGGGTGTTACAGAGCCGTGCGACCGCGGAGCTGGGCTGCTCAATGGCAGCGGGGGCTCATCTGCGAGGGGCAGGGCCGCTCGTCGTCGGCGGGGGCGTGCCCGCGTGGGGCGCGACAGAGCGGCTTGGCGACAGCACGGCAAGACCGTGTAGGGCTAGCTGCTCTTCGGTGGCGAGGACGGCTCTTCATTGACGGCGCATGGCCGGACGGTGGTAGTAACGGGGGCGAGGCTGCGTAGGCCGAGCGATGTCACCCGTCGTCTCTTTCTCCTACGCGCGGTCTTCGTCGGTTTGTTCAGTTCAACCGAAAACCGAACCGAAGAAAGGCTACACCGAACTGCTCGATTTCTCCACCTATGACAGACCGATCAGTTTGTGTTTTCTGGAAACCGAAGTTTCAGAGAACCGAAGAAACCGAACCGAAGTATCGGTTAAAACTGATTGCCCAGTCCTACGCCCCCGCCATGCCTTTACGCCACCAGGACGGGGCAGAGCTTGCCCAAAACACGGCAAGCAGAGTTCGCCCAAAACGTATTGAGGACGTGACGGAGCCAACCGTGTGCGCCCCTTCTTGCTCGCAGCCCAACAATGCACCTATGCCCATCACCCTCGGGTCTCTGACCCTCGCGCTGCTGCTCTCCACCCTCGGTCCCACGTGCCCTTCGCGCCTAGTTGACCCGCCCAAGTGCCCACTCTCTCCACACACATAGCCATGCGCAATCGCTTTGCTCTATTTCTCTTTCGATGATAAGGAGCTGGTCGTGGTGTTGTCGGTGAATGCGAGAGTGAGAGGCAAGGTGGGCCATGGAAACCATAGCTAGATCTATAGTTTTGTTCAGAGACAAATCCAATGTGGGCCGATTGGGGGCTCTAGCCCCTACCCCATAGAGCCCATAGAGCCCTCTCTAAACTTTATAGCCATGGATGAAGAGGAGAAAGGAGAAAGGAGACAAAGAGAAGAGTGGAGGAGAAGAAAGGGAAGATGAGCCCCCTCGCACAAGTTCCTGGCTCGGCCCCTAGTTTAGTTATATAATCTTATTGGCTTTACAATGTTAATTAAAAGAGTATGATTTTATGATCCTAACCGACAACGTTCACATGTCCATGATTTTTATGTTTGTTTATATGATTTTATTACTTAATAAAGTCTTTAAATTCAATTTACTTCCTCCATCTCAAAATAGAGAGGACACTATTTGATTTGATGTGGTCTTGAAGATCACACTTTGGCTATTAATTTTTCTTATAATACATTTATAATTTATAACAACAAAAGTATCATTATCAGGGTAAAGAGATGGTCAGGCACTCAGGAGTCAGGACGGACAAAGGCGTCGTGAGGGACAGGCCGGACAGCGACAGCATGCATGCTGCATTCGGTTTGTGGTTTGGCTTCTGGCCTTCTGCGCGTGGAAACATGCGTTCTGCGTTCCTGCTGCCCATGCGGCTACTGCGATCCCTTCTGCAACTGCTCGGTGCCACTGAACTGATACTTCACTCTGCAGTCTGATGGTGATGGCGACACCCCCTGACGCCGCCCTATTGTTACTCAACTTTTGTTTAGCTTATAATTCATACTTTTTTAACGAGCAAACAGTATTTTTCTTTTATAACAAATCAACCAGCAGTACTTTCAACTATGTCTTATCAATTAAACGAACATGACGACTACTCCCTCTAGTCTTTTTTATCTGTCCCTATAGGAAACCTGTTGATTAAAAGTTTCTCAACTTTGTTTAGGTTTATAGAAATATTAGTATGTTCAAATAAATTAATTATGAAAATCTATTCAAAGATGTATATAATGATATTAATTATGTACCATAAATATTAATATTTTTGTATATATTTGGTTAAAGTTAAGTAAAACAAAAAAAAGGTAGAGGGAGTAATAATGTTGTTACGAATGTACTAGTATCCCGGGCAGGACAGGGCCATGAAAACCATGATTTTGTTATGTTACACTTTGTATGGAATAGAGATACTTTTATTTTTATATTATATAAATGAATCAAGATAGACCATAAAACATCCATTTTTGGTCTATCCAACTATTGTTGTTTGGTTTTCGTGATGAAACTCTAGAGCTGAAACTTTTTACCATATTGATATTGGACAGATTTTGCCATCTAGTTGGGTTCAAAGGTGGTTTTATATTTCTGAAAATAATGAGATATGTTATTTTCTAAAAAACATAAATAATTCATCTTCAAAAAAATGGAACCAATATCAAAAAATTGTAAAAGTATAATTTATCTATCGGTGCTAGATTTGGATCTTGCTTTTACTTGTCATTAGTGTTTTATCGCCCATAGTTTTTGTGGAGTCACTCCTGGCCTCTCACCCTCGCTGAGGATCACACGGGGAGAGGCCTAGGGTTTCCCACAGAAAGAAGGATCGGTGAGCTAGCGTGAGTGCGAGGTCGAAGGTTCTCCAGGGGGAAGTACGAAATAAATGCGGACTAATTGCCTATTAAATTGTCATCCAAGAACTCTCCTTCTTGCACGCAGGCGCCTGCATTTATAGGTCACACCCAAGGTCATGGTGAAATTACACTAGGGTCGACCTTGACGAGTCTACTGTGATACAACGACCAAGGGTAGGGCGGTAATCTTTCCCCCCATGGCCAACTACCCTAAACCCTAAGGGCTTGGGAACGCCGTCGCCTTCACGCCGGCATCCCTTGACGGTCCGCGCCATATCCTCGCTCGCCTGGAGCGAGGTTCACCATTCGCCAGAGGCTGGTGTCCCGCTGGAGCAAACCTCCGATCGTCACGACGAACCGCCACATTCGGTACCTGATAACAGGGGACAACCAACGAGGAAAAAACCCTCGCGGCGGGGGTTAGCACCCACCGTGAGATTGATCAGTCAACCCAGAAAAGAGGTCGAGTGCCAGGGTGAGGGCTGAGCCGGAACCGTCTTCCCCCAACAGTTTTTCCCTTTGTATTTATTTAAATCATCAAATTATTTATGCTATATTAAAATTAGGGATGAACCAAGAGAATCCATAGTTCGAGTAGAGTACCAAATGTGTGGATTAAAATTAGGAAAACCATTTTTATAGGCCAGTGGTGCCATGCCAGTTGCAAATCCTAACTATGATCTATCTATGTGGTGAAGGATTGCCATTCCACCATTCCAAGGATTTGATTGGTGTTAGACACGAGACACGGCATCGAAACACCACGCTATTGACGCCACGACGACGGGACAACGCCTCCCCAAAGAGGATGAAGGACAATGCACGGCCCTCTCACTGTAACACCCCCTACCCAGAAAGCTATACGAGGGAGGCCCAAGCTCTCTCTAAGGACGAACCCTCTTAGCATTCTCACCCCCGTTTCTAACATTTACTACAAACTTCGTGTCCAGGAACACGAACAAACACTAGAATTTGGAGGTAGGGCGTATTGGTTGAACCAACATAAATCCTGAGTCTTTGAGCGCTAGAGACCACACGCACGGCTACAGATTTACCGGTCGGCGCTACAAATCGTTGACAAATGGATTCAAATTTTTCTAGTTTAAAATAAATCAGTTCATTTTTTCTAATTTGAAATGAACTAGTTTACTTAAAATGATGAATTTAGTTTGGGCTCTGCAATGGGAGCGACAGTTGGCCCCGTTCGCTGGTCTGAACTTTGGCTGAAACTGGCTGAAAAACACTGTTTCGACTGAATTGTTGTGAGAGAAAAACACTGTTCCGACTAAAAAAATAAGCCGAACAAGCCAAATTTAAGAAGCGAACGAGGCCTCACTGTAAATCCTAAGGATCCGACAAGCTTTGCTCTCAAATGAACAAATATAAACAGAGCTGCACGCCCACGCCATCTCAGCAACAACGGCCTGGCGGAAGCGGAACGGACGGTTGGTGTCGCCCCCGCCCGTGATCCGACGGCCAGCACGGCCGCCGCTAGCCTTAAAGCCGAATCCTCCTCCTCCTCCGGCAGTTACCAGTCGTCACTCTCTCGTGCTCTGCCTGCGGGCTGCCGTGCACCCTAGCCCGCCGTCGGGTCGCCTTGCCACGTCGCCGCCCGCCCGCGCCCACCACCTGAGGCCGGCCGGTCGCCCATCCATAACGCCCACCCCCGCAGTCCAGTCCCCACCTCTTCTCTCACACACTTGCACGCCTCCTCCCCTCACCTCCCACGCCTCACCGCGCGCGCAGATCGGAGGAATAATGGTGAGCGCGTCGAGCCTGCTCCTGCCGTCCTCCGTGCGGGACCTGGCGTCCTGCGTCTCCGACGGCGCCGTCCGCGTCGCCTGCACCACCCCGGCGTCCACGCTCACCGTCTCCTCCTCCTCCTCGCCGGCGCCGCCGTCCACGCTCTCCGTCGCCGTCACCTACCGCGCGACCCCGCAGGCGCCGTCGTTGCCGCCGCTCCTCCTGCGGCTCACCTGGTCGCACTCCCCGCACGGAGCCCCGGCGCTCTCCTTCGCGGGCCCCACCGCGTCGTCCCCTGCCGTCCTCCTCCGCCGCCGCAAGGGCACCTGCTGCCTCCCCTCCTCCTCCTCCTCGGCACACAACCCCCCGCTCGCCCTCTTCTGGGACCTCACCGTCGCCAGGTACGACGGCGCGGCCTCGTCCTCCTCCCCGTCCTCGTCCCCGGAGCCGGTCTCTGGGTTCTACGTCGTCGCCGTCGCCGGCGCCGAGGTGGTGCTGGCCGTGGGCGACCTGGCGGCGGAGTTCGTCAAGGCTAAGTTCGAGGGCCAGATCCCCCGGGCGCGCTCCATCCTCCCCGTGTCCCGCGCCGACCGCGTCGTCGTGGCGGCGCCGGGGCAGACGCCGGGCGCCGCGGTGCACACCGCGCGGGTCCGGTTCGCCGAGGGCGCGCCGGAGCACGAGGTCGCCGTGGGCTGCTGCCGCGCCTCCGCCTCCGGCAGGCCCGGGGAGGGGGAGCTCTGGGTCAGCGTCGACGGCAAGCGCGCCGTGCACGCGCGCCGCCTGCGCTGGAACTTCCGGGGCAACCAGACCGTGTTCGTCGACGGCGCGCCCGTCGACGTGCTCTGGGACCTCCACGGCTGGTGGTTCCAGGACCCGCCCGGCTGCGCCGTCGTCATGCTCCGCGTCAGGAGCGCGCTCGAGAGCAGGCTCTGGCTGGAGGAGGAGGCCAAGGCGCCCGGATTCGCGCTCCTCGTGCAGGCCTTCAAGACACCGCCTTGATCCTCGTCTTGGTGATGCCACCTGATGATGGAAAAAATTGCAAAAATGACACTCGAAGGATTGATTATGACGACACTTTGGTGGATGACAAGTGGTTCATCTGTGTCTATGAATGAGGTTCAATGTCAAATCTGTAAACGATCGATGTGAGTCCCATTTTTGCAAATCGCCCCCTGTTGATGAGGTCAAACAAATGCTCTGTCGCTCACTGCTGCCTGCTGGTTCATATTTCCTCTGCCTTTTGACTTGAATTTGGTGGTATTTAGCAAACCAAACCAAATCCAACCAGGAAAATGGTTGCGTTGACGATCTAGATATTTGTAGATTCCGGTGCGTCGAATGAGTTTGGGAAGACACCATGAATCTCATGTTGGTATGGTATACAAAGAGAGATTGATTTGTGCTTTTGGGTCATCTTCTTCCTTTCTTTCTTTTAATTTGCTTCTTCTTATTTTCCGGATAATTTTAGCTCTGTGTTCTCGTACAGTTAACAAAGGATAATACAGTGTCATCATAGAGTGTGTCTTCATTCAGCATTGTTGTGATTAGCCATGAAATGAAATCATGGTGTCCAGGTTGCTTCCTGCTTTGAAGTACACTAGAAAGAATTGATGCTTACCTCCCTATCTGTATCCTGTTGCTCTTCACTGTTTTTATGGAATGCTGCAGTAATAGTGATACAAGTGATTCTAGCACAATTCCTAGTACAGCAGCACAGGGCAACAACCTGTGCCTCAATGGATTCCTGCATCATCTCCACCAAATATCTTTGTACTAATTCCACTATTCCAGAGACCCACTGCATGTTTACCGATGTTTGGAGCCTATCATATCATTCACATGCATTCTTCCAACAACCACCATTTGGTTCCTGCATGCGCCGCGTTCGTTTGGGCTGATTTGGTTTATAAGTCATGACTGAAAGTACCGTTGATTGGTTTGGTGTGAGAGAAAAATACTGTTCGTTGACCGATAAACCATGGTTTATAAGCCACATACGAGCAAGCCAACGTTATTTGATCATGTAATTTCTGCAGGTACACAGTGATGTCCCTGTCATAATTTATGGGCACATGACTGTCTCTCTCTGTTTACAATAAACAGAGCATGAGAGGGGGTGTCAATGGAAGGAAATGATGCATGCACTTGGTGTTGGTTGGTCCCAAGCTGACCCGGCATACAAAACAAAAACAAGTTGCGGATGACGAGGAGTGCAGGCTACTGCTTTCTCCTTCCCAGTTCCACTCTTGTGAGAGCTTGGCTTCCCAGATTCTGCTGCGTGCTTTCTGCTTTGGCTTTTGTTTTCTTCTCCGGAGTTTATCTGATGCGCCACGCCAAATTGGCAATAGGAATACGTAGAGTAGCCGGCGAAAGGGACTGATGGCGCTGTCGCCTATCATGTGAGCATCATCATATCTTGTTTACTCTGTTTGCCAAGCAACCATGTTGCTGCACCAGGACAAAATCACCACTTCTTTGTTTGTGTCCTCTTCCTTATTGTAGGGTCTGGCTTTGGCTCCTTGTTACTACTACGGTATAGAGGATCAGAGCTGTTGAAACTACAAATAGTGACTTCATCGACTTATAGTTTCTTTTGAGAAAAAGAGAGATAAAACAGATCCTTACTTGATTATATAGCTATATAGTGCATGAAAGAGTCGGAATCAAGCGGAGCTTCAGCAAACGGACCCTACGTACTACACTTCTACGCACAACAGCATCAGTATCTTTTAATCTGTCTTTGGATTTTAGCTGGGCCTTGTCCCCAAGAACAGGCTGAGGCAGGCAGGCTCCAGTCCAGAATCCAGATGACAGTTCTCGGCACGGCACGTCGGCGGCCATGGAATCTGGCCAGCTTCGTCGTGGTTTGTGAGCTGTATGGCCTTGGTTTGGAGTTGGGGTCGGCCAAATGCAGTGTTGCTTTCACGATTCATGACACATTGCTTTCAAGCTATGCAACGTATACAGACTGATGCATGTTGAATGGCGACCGACCTGCTGATCTGTCTGTACTCTGAAGATGACTACTAGATGTATAATGTTGTGCTGATTTGCTGCCAATGGAGTAGTACTTCACACTATTTCAGGCATGGCTGCTGCCCTCAAGTTCAGATGGCAGGCCTGCTTTCAGGCATGGCTGCTGCCTTCAAATTCAGATAGCAGGCCTGCCATTTGTTTCTCCACTGCAGCACGTCTGGAAAATTCAAGCATCCAAGGAACCACCCAGTTCGCTTCCTTGAAAAAACAAGCCGAAACACTGTTCCATCTTATTTGTTGTGAGAGAAAAACACTGCTCTGGCTGAAAAACAAGCTGAAAAGTATGGATTATAAGAGAAGCAAACGGAGTAACAAGATATGATGATGCTCATATGATAGGTGACAGCGCCATCAGGCTTGCAAGTCTGGTGAACCTCCCGGTTTATATGGATTGTGATTGTGACTACCGGTGATTCTCCAGAAGCTGAAGGCGACGAGTTCAGTCCTGATTTCTATGTTTTTAGTCCCTGCGCATTCTTGCTTGGGTCTGTTCCAATTCTACAAGTAGTTAATGGCTTGCAAGTCTGGTGAACCTCCCGGTTTATATGGATTGTGATTGTGACTACCAGTGATTCTCCAGAAGCTGAAGGCGACGAGTTCAGTCCTGATTTCTCTGTTTTTAGTCCCTGCGCATTCTTGCTTGGGTCTGTTCCAATTCTAAAAAGGACGTACCCAGTGCAGAGAGCCCCGCTCTATGCGGGGTCTAAAGAGAAGAATGGTGTCAGTGGCAAGTCTTACCCTCGCCTGTGCAATGCGAGGAGACCGTGACTCGAACCCGGGACCTTCCAATCACAGGCGGTAAGACTCTACCGCTTGCACCAGGCCCGCCCTTCGGTCTGTTCCAATTCTACAAGTAGTTAATCTTACTGGCCACCTGCGCATGTCTAGCGTCGCAAGGATTCACATCATCGCCCATATGGATTAGCCCTTGTTTAGTTGGCAAAATATCCCAAAATGTACTGTTGCTAGGAAGTAGCCCAAAATATGAGCAATAGAACTTTTCAGGGGGTGTTTAGTTCCCAAAATCTGAAAACCTACTGTACACCATTTAATGAACTACATGCAGCTTATTAATGGCATGCATGCATGAACTTGAATGCAAGTAAGCAAGGTTTTACATCCACCCATACCATTGTCAACAAATGCATGTCATTGTTTGGGTCATGAAGCATCATCAACAACCTGACAATGAATGAATGAAAACCAACAATTATTGGTAAACAAATGAAATGGCACAAAGCTAATGCCGCACATAGTTACACAATCAAATAATTACATTGTTTGTCGGACAAAAAATACAATTACAGCCAAATAAATTAATCAGATTACGATGCGCCTAAAAAGACGACCAAATCATGTTCGATTAGCCAAACCGATTATGATGGATTCCCGAAATGCATTCATAAGCTCTTAATCGTAACAACCGCTTGGAGGAATAGTTTCGGGCTGATCGGCACTTCCTGCTTCTCGCGCGGCACATAGTTGTCATCCGGTCTGCACACCGAGCAAAGTGCCGATCCCCTATGCCACTCACCCTTATGAAGTTATGCGGGGGCACAACATGCAACAATGATTTGACTTTGTATATGGGGGCATAACTAGGGACTTCTTTCATCATCCGCCACTTCATTTTCAACACTCCAAATGACCTTTCTATGACATTCCTAAGTGACGAATGTGCATAATTGAAGATCTCGCCACCTTGTGGTTCGGTGCCTCTCGGTACTCTCAGGGTGGTACTTTGTTCCCTTATACGGTGCAAGATAACATGGTCGGTTAGCGTGCCCCCGAGTCCACAAGGTAATATTTGCCTATAACATTGAAACAACAGTTAGTATCACGAACTTGTACTCGCATGCACAAAAGTATAACCAACTAATTGTATACCAAGTTGGTGGATGTGGAAACACGTTGTCTTTGTATGTTGTTGTCGCATCGAAGAAGACCCTCATGTCATGTAATCTTTGAACCCGCCAGCCAGCTAACACGAATGTAAACCGCATGTCAAGTCACACACACCAAGACATTCTCATGTTGTCATCTCCTTGCGCACAAAAAGCTTTGCACAAACTTATCACTAGGCACCACACGGGGGACATGAGTCCCATCTATCGCCTCTATGCAATGCAGTCCTTGAAGTAGGGATAGAACCTAGGATTTCTTAGCCTATCATGCATAGTGCTGAAATTTGGGTCATTAGGCCTAATGATGTCAGTGATGAAGCTTGACAACAGACTTCAACACCCTATGAAACATGCTATGCACAAATTCCCCAAAGACCTCTCAAACCTGTCCTCCGCTTGCCTAACAGATTGTGGAGCCCCACCATCCACAGAAACATCCCAAGGGCTTCAATAGATGCGGATTTGCTATTAGATTTCAGCCCATATGATTCTACCAACACATCATGCAGACTATGGAACATATCAGGGCTCATTCTGAACATGTTATAACAGGCCTTCCTATTTCCTAGTTTACTATGTACCCATTCCAAACCACTAATGACTGGCTGTCTATACTCTGACCTTGACAAGTGCTTGTCAATGTGGTAGGCGTACTGGTACATACCGTGCAGAGAAAAGCATCGTCATCATCATCTCCGCCTCCATCCAATCAACGATGAACTCGTCCAAATCATTCTCATAACAATCTTGCCTCCAGGACATCATCCCAGTCACTATTGCTTGGACATCCTCCTGTCAAAACGAAAACAGTTCACGTCAGTTTTCAACATCAACTAGGCAACATTAGCATGCATCCCTATTCAAACTGACTCATGCCAGTTACTCAAACTCATGCACTACATACATCAACAGATCATAGCCATATCCAATCATACTACAAATAACCAGTTCAAGTGTTCGACATGACATACTTAGGTCAATGACCAAAGACACCCACCACACCTCACATAGTTCTAATGACATAACTTAGTAACTACGTAGAAAGCTTAACAAAATAAG